CTTCACCTCATCAAGACAATCATTGGCACGATGCCCCGCACCACCACATCGGAAACACTTCCCACCAGCAGACGCTCTCCCTTCTCTGGGCTTCTTATCAGCAGCAACCTTATGTTTTCCTTTATCAGCAGGAGCACTGTAAGGAGTACCACCAAATCTCTGCATACCCTTCCGATCATTCACAACCTTATAGTGTGCAATCCTGGCCCGGTTATCATTATCATAAATCCTGCTTCTGCTTACCAGCTCGGGATAATTCCTGATCTTCTGACAAGCGATCCCCATCTTAATCTCCGGACGCAACCCGTTCTCAAACTTCAAACACTTGGAAGTCATTGCCTCTTCAGTATTGTAATGAGGACAATACTGTACCAACCCTTCGAATTTAGCAGCATACTCTGCCACAGTCAGATTACCCTGCTTCAGTTCCAGAAACTCTATCTCTTTAGCACTTCTTATATCTTCCGGAAAATACTTCTCCAGAAAACCAGTTCGAACCACATCGCAAGTAATAGCAGTTCCTGCAACCTCCAATCTCTGGCGACTGTTGTCCCACCAAGCCTCAACTTCACCTTCTAGCATGTGAGTACCAAACCTCACTTTCTGCTCATCATTATAACCCATCGTCCTGAAAATCTTCTCAATTGCCTTCAGCCATTTCTGGGCAGCTTCAGGATCCAAAATCCCTCCTTCAAACGTAGGTGGCTTGTTACTCTGAAATTGTGCTAAATCTCTGAATTGCGCACCCACAGCTTGGTTCTGATTAGCAACCACCTGCGCCATTGCTTGCATAGCTGCAGCCAAAGCAGCATCATTCCTCCCTGCCATATTGTTCAACCAAAACAACACTAGGTTAAAAAGACACACCAACTCTATCCTAAGGACAGACTCAACAACTACACTGGCCGGACAGACCGACCTGCTCTGATACCAACTTGTAACACCCCACTTCCCCAAATTAAAATATAATGATTGTTGTTTGTTCCTCTCATCTCTCATTTAAAATCGCTCTCATTTGATATCACACACACACACACACACACACACACACACACACACACACACACACACACACACACACACACACACACACACACACACACACACACACACACACACACACACACACACACACACACACACACACACACACACACACACACACACACACACACACACACACACACACACACACACACACACACACACACACACACACACACACACACACACACACACACACACACACACACACACACACACACACACACACACACACACACACACACACACACACACACACACACACACACACACACACACACACACACACACACACACACACACACACACACACACACACACACACACACACACACACACACACACACACACACACACACACACACACACACACACACACACACACACACACACACACACACACACACACACACACACACACACACACACACACACACACACACACACACACACACACACACACACACACACACACACACACACACACACACACACACACACACACACACACACACACACACACACACACACACACACACACACACACACACACACACACACACACACACACACACACACACACACACACACACACACACACACACACACACACACACACACACACACACACACACACACACACACACACACACACACACACACACACACACACACACACACACACACACACACACACACACACACACACACACACACACACACACACACACACACACACACACACACACACACACACACACACACACACACACACACACACACACACACACACACACACACACACACACACACACACACACACACACACACACACACACACACACACACACACACACACACACACACACACACACACATATATATCAGTTATATCAATCAAGTTAAATATTATGGAAACTCACATTTGAACCCCAAGTTAAATTTAATAATTCATAATTCATTTTTTTTCACATCAAGTATACTCGTTTTATCCCTAAACAGCATCTCTCGACCTATCTCAACCCAAGGAATCCTACAAAACGGAACACAAGGCAAACAGCACAAAAATCACATTCTGTCACGCTCGCTGGCTCACTCGCCTAGCGAGGCCTCAGTGAACGCTTGCCGCCTCATTCGCCTAGCGAACCTGCTAGCGAATGCAGACAGTGGCTACTGGAAGTGTTCGCTATTCAATTCGCCTAGCGAATTCCTAGCGAATGCTCGCTACTAGTTCGCTCAGCGAAGGTACTAGCGAATGTCTGCGATTTCACAAAAATCTCACTGTTCAGAAATTCAACAGAAGCTCAAAAATCGTCTGATTCTCACCACACCAGTCTCAACAATCTTAGCCTAGTATTCTACGACTAAACCACATTGTTTATTCCACACCTCACCCGATAAATCGCTAACTCTACCGATTAAATCATTTTTGATCTAAACGGTAAACTACTCAGAACGTCCAACAAATCCCTACATTCATCACATGCAATGTTGTAACAACAGAATTTCACCAATTCCTAACAGCATAAACACAATTTATTCATGGAAACAACCATCAGAACACTACAACATCTTAATCATGATCATCAAATCCCTATGGGGTTAAGGAATCCCCAACTACCCCATTCATGCTATTACCAATTCTAACCCGTTTCTCCCCCCTTACCTCGACTAGTTGCTTCGATCGATGAAACTTCTACGAATCTGATTGCTCTCCCTTGTTCTTCTTCCTCTTGCCCTTGTTCTTCTCTCCTCACTCTTCTCCCAATAGACCGTGTTCTTCTTTTCTAAACTCACCAAATACCCCTTTACACATTCATTTCTCATTTCTTTTAATTCCAATAATAATAATAATAATAATAATAATAATAATAATAATAATAATAATAATAATAATAATAATAATAATACCATTACTATTAATTATTAAATTATTATCATTATCAATTTTATTATACTAATATTAAAGGCCAAAGCTTCTTAAATAATTCCCACAAAAGACATGCCGAATTAAAATAACACCGAAAAGATTAAATAATTAAAATGTGCGTTACACATCGCCTTCATCACAACAAAGATCCTCGTCGTCCATGCCTCAGGAAATGCCCCAGATGAACCCTTCGCAATTTCAATCCCAGACATCTTCATTCCCCTAGACTACATACCAACACCCCTAACTCACACAACCTCAACCAACATATCAACGCACTCATACCACATTCTTTGTCACCTCCTCTCAACAACCAACACCATACACCCCAACCCCGCAACCTAACTTTCACCAAGAATACCAGGAACAAACCACATTTCGATCATCCTTCCAATTCACTCCAATTCCTCGACCTAATTTTGATTTCTCTTACCCTCAATCACAACACCAAACATTTAACCCTTCACTGTCTCAATCGACTTCTACCGACCGCACTGACGATGTTTATTACCCTCCCATCCAACAAAGTCCTCCAACCACCTTCAACCAACCATCTCAATCAGTCCCCAACTATCTCCTAATTGATGATCAACTTATGGAATGACCAGGTTTTTCTGTTACTGATGTGGACATGGTCGATACATCACATCAACCTGAAAATGTATGTGAAGATGAAGAGTTGTCTTCCAACTCTACCTCATCACCTACAAGACGGCAACCCGAAGAGTTAGGCAAAGGAAAACGCATGAAAAAGAGTAAAATGTATGGAACTGACGGTCATTTATGTAGACAAAAATGATGTATCTTTTTCACTCATTGCTATTAATAAATTGCTTCTATTTATGATTTTAATTAATAAGCAAATTATTTTAATTAATTATATAATTAATTAAATGTTATGAAAAATATTTAATAACATTATAAAATTTATTAAATTATTTATTTATTAATATTTTAAATCATGAAAAGAGTTTTTAATATTTAAAAAATAATTAAATATATAAAATTATAATAAATATTTTATATTTATATTTAAAAACAATAAAAAAATAAAAACAAAAAAAAGTTTTTAAAGGATCGGCCAATGGTTGGCCGAACCCTTTCATGGTCGAGACCCCTTCATAGATTCGTTCAATGGAATGACGAGTCCTTTAAGAAATTATGGCAGATTGGTAAATTTTTTTCAACCTGTGGCAATTCGTTACTATTAATTTCAGGCAGCAGCATATGTGTAAAAAACTCTTGTGAAGAGCCAAAGGAAAAGTACTTAAGAGAATTACTTACCAATCTAAAGTAGGAGCCTTTGACAGGAAAGCGTGTCAAGCAATTTATGTGTTTATTTGATATTGTACTGTGTTTGGTTAAATCACATCGAATCACCGTGATGTTGAAGAAGTGCTTCAACAAATCAAAGTGCCCCTGTGATTTTGTTCAATCCACCATGATATCAAACATGAACTATACATTTATAGTTGGAACTTAGAACAGTAGAAAAAACAGAAAATACATGTTCAATAAATCAAATAATTAAGAAGAGACACTATAAATAATTTTAAATCTTATTTTCCATATAACAAAGGAAACATATCAGTTATCATTTTTCCAAATCCTCTTCAATTAAAAGCAGTTATCAAATGTTATTAGCATAATCTGAAAAAATGAGTTTGTTTCATCTCCAAAGTCTAACGTAAATTACTGCAGCAGCTCATATTTTGTTTCATCAAATATGGTGAAGGAACTGCCTCCATAACAGTCTCCAGCACCTGGAGGATGGTTAATGAATATTTCTAGCAAAGGCAACAACAACAGCATGGACAAGAATCTGTACCTGTACTTCAATCATTTATAAAGCCTCAAATAGTTGATCTTCGTCACAAAATTACAACTGTAACACAACAGGAATTGAAGAATACATCCATGAACAACAGCTCCAATTTCCAACCCCTCCATATTTAAACAATACAGTTAAGTCAATTGCAACTTAGGACGATGCATTACACAAAACTTGCACTTACAAGTTAACCATTCAATAGCTTCCAGACGCTTCACCATTTTCTTTGATTTTCTTACCATCCATTTTCTCCTGGTATAGCTTTAACAAATTATGTCTTTCCTCTTCAAAACTTTGCACATACTTTTTAAGAAACGCCTTTTCAGTAACAACAAAAGGGGACGATTCAAGATTCTTATCTATCATACCTTTGGAGATCAGATATGAAACAACACAGGCCCTCGGAATGATCCTTTTCTCCAAACTATACGAAAAAATACCCGGCCATTTGACAAGAATCAAAGAGTTCCAACCCAACTCATTCACCCAAAATCTCAAGACCTCATTAATTTTCTCTGTGGATAATAGCATACACGAGGGTCGCCTCCTAAATGCTTCAAGAACCATTTCTTCAGACCAACCCCATCTCTTAAAGAGAATAACTTTGGCATTCCAGAGGGATTTCGGCATGCCCTTTATGGCTAACAATGCTATACAAAAATGTACATTGGAGGGATCATTAAATCCCATTTTCTTAACCTTATCCAAAGCACTCGATAAGTCATAACATAGTATATGTCCGTTAAATAACAAATATCTTATATTTGAGTCAGAGACTCCTTCATCAAGCAACAATTTGACATTGTTAATAACATTATTATGACCAAAGAAAAGGCTACATCTACGTATGAGTCGAATAACTTTGTCATTAGATGGAATGAACCTTCTTACCAATTCAAAAGTAGGGATTATGCAATTGTCAAGACTTGAATACAGAATTCTAGGGTTTCTTCCCACAATCTCCACTACATCAGAAATCGAAGCACCTTGTGAGAGTAAAAATTGAAACTTTGGCAAAATCCTTTTGTGGGGGTCACATGTAAGAATGTTGGGCGCTTTACTAACGATGTAGCTAATCTGAGAATCGGAGAAACCGAAGTTTCTGAAGAAGAGGATTACTGAATCAGGCTTTCGGGAAGTCTTGAAATGAACTTGTTTGGAAGCATTTGTAGCGGTTTCTAATGAGAAGCCGAAATTGGTAACGAAATATGAAATTGTGAATTGGTTTTGTTGAGAAGTTGTTGAAGAGTAGCATTTCAAAGAGAGAGAAGAAATGAAAATTGGGGTTGGGAAGAGTACCGGATTTAGGGTTTTCATTTTCAAGACTGGAGTGTTCCAGGATTTGTCGTGTGGCAAAAACATGGAGAAGCAAGATAGTGTACCCATGATAGAGGAAACTGGATATTGTACTTCAAAATAAGGTGAACAATGAATGGAACCAACTTTAAAATAATTTGAGAAACTTTGCTTCCCCATAACCTAAATTCATCTTTTTCTATTTGAGTTTTGTATCGTGTTATTTGTGTACTACTAGAAGAGACGAGCCTGAGCACATAAAAGTTAATTCTTTAATGGGTCAATATATATTTTATTCCTTGCTATTTAGGACGAATTTGAAAAAAGATAATGTAAAAATTTGTTTTTCACTAGTGATAAACTTATAACCTTTTGCATGTAAGGAGACACGGACACCTCTTTCATTAGGCTAACATTTCTTTTTTGTCATTTAGTTTGGTCCAAATATATATATTATAACATGTAATAAATATATTATGTAATGAATATGTTTGTTTATTTTAATTTAAATTATATATGTATAACATAAAAATGTAATGAAAATACGATTAATGAAAAAAAATTTATAATGTAAAATGTTAAAATATATTATAAATATTAAAAATATAATAAAAAATATTTAATTAATATTAACATATAATTAAAAAATATTTAAAAATTTTAAAATATTTAAAATAAAATCTTCCAAAATTGTTAAAATATATTAAAAACATTAAATAATTAAAAAACTAAAATTTAAATTAAAAAATTAAATTTTATATTCAAATTAAAAAAAAATTACATTACTAATGTATTATAATGTTAAATCATTAATATTAATTAAAATTTATCTTAATTAGTATTTAATATTTATTATATTTTTTAAACTAAATTATTAAATATAAATATAATAGATATATATTATATATCAACGTTTGTATAAAAAATAAACTAAATTATTTTAACTAAATATTTATATTAACATTTAATATTAAAATATAAACTAATCATTTTTAACCTTTAACATAAGAGCCGGCATTAAGGCTCTGTTTGCCAAGACGTTTTTTTGAGTTTATAGCTTATAAGCTAATATGATAATAAAAGACCTATTTAGTAATACTCTTTTTATCACTAACTTATAGCTTATTTTTAGACCCTATTTTAATTAGCGTTTTAACTTATAGCTTATAACTTATCATTTTTTCTTTCATTTTTGTCCTTATTATTTTAACTAAATCTACTACTACCCTTTATAATTTATTTTAATTCAAATAAAATGATTTTATATTAAATATCTTTTATATTATTTTAATGTATCAATTAGTTGAACCGCTAATTTTACCAAACACTTCAACTAACTTATAAGCTATAAGTCATCTGACATCAGCTATTAGTCATCAGCTATCAGCTATCAACTAACTTATCAACCAACCGCTATTTTTATTAAATAGAGCCTAAATAGAAATAACAAAAACAAAATAGCTACAATCTCACAATATTAATTGTTCTGGACTGGGCCGAGGCTTAGCCCACAATCGAGAAGGCCCAAGTCCCACTGAGGTTGGGCCCAATTGGACCACACTGATGAGCAGGGCAGGTGCCCATCCTGTCGGGCAGAACCTCCTCCCGTCGGGCAGGTGCCCATCCCGTTGGGCAGAACCTCCTTCCGTCGGGCAGGTGCCCATCTCGTCGGGCAGAACCTCCCCCCGTCGAGCAGGTGCCCATCTCATCGGGCAGAACCTCCTCCCGTCAGGCAGGTGCCTATCCCGTCGGGCAGAACCTCCTCCCGTCGGGCAGGTGCCCATCTAGTCGGGCAGAACCTTCTCCCGTCGGGCAGGTGCCCATCCCGTTGGGCAGAACCTTTTCCCGTCGGGCAGGTGCCCATCTCGTCGGGCAGAACCTCCTCCCGTCGGGCAGGTGCCCATCCTGTCGGGCAGAACCTCCTCCCGTCAGACAGGTGCCCATCCCGTTGGGCAGGTGCCCATCTCGTCGGGCAGCACAACGTGCCTTCCACATGTTCTTCGCGTGCTCCCCTCCGTGGGGACACGTCATCCACCAACTGCCAATCTCCGAAAGAGCAGGTCAAACCCGCTTTCCGGAGATCACGGAGCAGTTGGACTAGGGCGAAGACCACATTTCGGTCTTCACTATGCCACGTAAGCCCTAGCAGTCATTTGGATTGGGCCTGGCCATCCAGCCCAACTCAAATGACTGTTGGCCCAGCGCTGGGGTCTCTCTATAAATACCCTCTTCCCCAAGAGGGCCAGGTGTTCCATTCTTCTACCACTTTCTGTATTTGTTGTCACTCTGCCCAATTTCTCACTTTGGCATCGGAGTGCCTTGCAGGTACACCTCATCCTCATCCTCCACACCGGTGAACAGGAAGCAGTCCAACAGGGCGTGGCCATCCAGTGATCCCCTTCTGATCGCCTCAGATCAGTGGCGCCGTCTGTGGGAAATCTAAGCTCCCCGTTCCTCCGAGCAGAGAACCAAAGCTTCATCTCTCAAAACTTCAGGATCATGAGTGCCCTCCGCCATGACGACGCTGTTCACAACTGTCCTCCCTTCGTGGAGCAGAAGGCTCCGATGGGCAAGACCCTGGCTGCCAACCAACCAGTCTTTGTCCTCCTTTCGTCGAGCAGAAGACTCTGATGGGCAGGACCCTGGCTGCCCACCAGCCAGTCTTTGTCCTCTCCTTTCGTCAAGCAGAAGACTTCGATGGGCAGGACCCTGGCTGACCAACCAGCCAGTCTTTGTCCTCCTTTCGTCGAGCAGAAGACTCCGATGGGCAGGACCCTGGCTGCCTACCAGCCAGTCTTTGTCCTCCTTTCGTCAAGCAGAAGACTCCGATGTGTTAGAACACAGATTGGTCCTTAATAATATCTCTTTGTTTTGATGATAACTATTAGGAAATTTTATATTTAAGAATTATACACTCTAAAATTTGTTTGAGAGTTTTACTGCAGATTGAAATGAAATTAACTCTCTAGAAGCAAATCTGAATTGTATACAAGAAGTTATCTTAACTCTGAAGCGCCAGATGCATTCATTAGAAGATTCTGATTTATGTTTACAGAAGATCCTGAGCGTAGTCTCCAGAAGGATCTGAAGCAAGAAGCTCCAGAAGATTCTGAAGCAGAAGCATCTGAAGCTAGTCAGAAGCATTTGAAGCTAAGAAGAATATTGTACGAAGAGTTTCTCAAAGCATAGTTTCTACAGAAGTTTCTGAAAGTACTAAAGCTGCCAAGTACTGAAGTTCTGTGACAAATATGCTCTGATGATCAACACGCTGAAAGCACACATGCTGCAGAAGACTTTGATACATCAAAGTTCTGTAAATCATTAGAAGACTCTGACTCAATCAGATTCTGATGAACTTGCTGAAAACTGAAGAAGAAATATTCAAAGAATATATCCGTTGGAGTAAATCAAACGTCTCTTTCCTCATTTGTGCTAGACACAAGAACACAGACAAAAAGGATTTTTCTGTGCTTTCTACTTCTAGGAAAGGTCACTTGATGTGAAGACAAAAAGGCTCAGACCTTTTTGGGACTCTCTTCTCAACGCTCAGCTTCCTTGGATCAGCTGCCTATAAAAGGAAGACTCCACCAAATTCCTCAGTTACACAATTTTCTGAAAAGAAATCATATTATTCAAAGCTCTCATTCTTTCATATTCTTCTTAGAATTATTTGTACTTAAACTTAAGAGAAAAATCACTGTTGTGATAAAAGCTTTTTAGAAGCATTCATACTCTTGTATTTGATTTACATTGATTGTAAAGATTTTCCTTAAGAGGATTCAGTTGGAATCAGTAGCTCTTGAGAAGACTAAGAACAGTTGTTCTTAGGTGTTTCTATTGTAATCTGTTTGATTAAATAGTGGATTAAGTCCTTGTTGAGAAAGGCAAATCACTCTAGGAAGGGTGGACTGGAGTAGTTGAGTTCAACGAACCAGGATAAAAATAATTGTGTTTTTATTTCTAAGTTTTAATCTTTCATACTTATTCAACCCCCTTCTAAGTATTATCTCACCTTCAGTTGGCATCAGAGCTCTGGTTCTGTGTGTGCTATCACTTAACAGTGTCAGTAAAGATCCAAAGAGAAATACTTTGATATATATTTATTTGTTACAACGGCTGATAATACAATATCCAATATTAACAATAAATATGAAGAAAGGGACAGGATCAACACCAAACCCCCTATGTTTGATGGGGAGAAATTTGATTACTGGAAAGACAGAATTGAGAGTTTTTTCCTAGGATATGATGTTGATCTATGGGATCTAGTCATAGATGGATATGTCCATCCCACAAATGGGAATGACAAAAAGATAGACAGAAAATCTATGACAGATGCTCAGAAGAAAGATTTTAGAAATCATCATAAAGCCAAGACTATATTATTGAATGCAATTTCACATACTGAGTATGAAAAAATTACAAACAGGGAAACTGCTTTTGATATGTTTGAATCCCTAAAAATGACTCATGAGGGAAATTCTCAAGTTAAGGAGACAAAAGCTCTGGCTCTGATCCAGAAGTATGAGGCTTTCAAGATGGAAGACTCTGAATCTGTTGAAGCCATGTTCTCCAGATTTCAGATCCTCACAGCTGGGCTAAAAGTTCTGGACAAGGGATACTCTACATCTGATCACGTGAAGAAAATCATCAGAAGTCTGCCTACCAGATGGAGACCAATGGTGACTACCTTGAAGATGGCTAAAGATCTGAACAAGATCTCTCTAGAAGAACTCATCAGCTCACTGAGGAGCCGTGAAATTGAGCTTGAGGAAGATGAACCTCAGAAGAAAGAAAAAGGTAAATTTGTTGCCTTAAAATCTAACAAAACTGCTAAAGCTTTGCAGGTTATTCAAGAAAGCTCTGAAGAATCTTCTTCTTCTGAAGAAGATGAATTATCTATGTTGTCCAGAAGGATCAACAGACTCTGGAAGCACAAGGGAAAGAAGTTCAACAACTTCAGAAGATCTGATAATAGAAAGGAATCTTCTGGGCATAGAAGATCTGGCAAGAAAGAAGTTGTGTGCTATGAGTGCAAAGAACCTGGGCATTACAAGAATGATTGCCCTAAACTTCAAAAAGAAAAACCC